TAGTCTATTTTTAGTTAGATCTGGTTCTTGTAAAGATAGATTATAGCTGGGGTGGGAGAGAGTCATATACTTACTAGAACGGTACAGTGATCGAACCCGTTTTCCAGCAATAGATTAGATAGTTCCACTTGAAATTTGGAGACAAATTGAATCCTAATAGATATTCAAGACAAGGAGCCGCCTTCTTTTATTATTCCCCCACCTTCAAGAAAGGCGATAAAGTCACTAAGACAGAAGAGTTAATACGAGTGAAAGAATCCGAGAAAAAAAATTAAGAAGAGAGGACAATAAAAGAACAGGAATTACGGAGAGAGTAGATGAGGATTGAGTGAGTTCGATAATCAGTCGGTGCTCCATACTTTCGGCCTTGTACAACATCTAATCTTCGCTTAATAAATGATTATGGGCAATTTGACATGATGTAATGGTTAACAAACTTGTTTCTCTAGATGAGTTACGACTGAGTTGTGAGTTCGATAATCAGTGGGTACTCCATACTTTCGGTCTTGTGCCACATCTAATTTTCGCTTACTAAATCATTATGGGTTCTTCGAGATGATGTAATGGTTAACAAGCCTGTCTCTCTAGATCAATTACGACTGAGTTGTGAGTTCGATAATCAGTGGGTGCTCCATACTTTCGGCTTTGTGCCACATCTAATCTACTTTTAGTAAATCATTATGGGAACTTTGACATGATGTAATAGTTAACAAACCTGTCTTTCTAAATCAATTACGACTGAGTAGTGAGTTCGATATTCACTCAGTGCTCTATGCATTCGGCCTTGTGCCACATCTAATCTTCTCTTAATAAATGATTATGGGCAATTTGATATGATGTAATGGTTAACAAACTTGTTTCCCTAGATGAGTTACGATAATCACTGAGTGTTCGATACTTTCGGCCTTGTGCCACATCTAATCTTTATTTAGCAAATTTAAAATTTTCAAGATCAAAATTGATTGGAAAGTTAGAAGCAGGCAGAGAGTTCCATAAGCGTGAAGTTAAAAAAAAACAGAAAAAAAAGAAAAGAAAATGAAAAAAGAAGTAGTGTCCATAGTTTTATACAGGAAAGATAAACGTTTACTTTAGGCTTGAAGAGATTGTAGTAATTGGGAAACTATTAGATCAATATAGTGTACTGCATGAGATCAAAACACTCTCAGATAACATCCTCAAATGTGTCGAAGACTACAAGTATCTAGGATCACACATCAAGAACTCTGAGAAAGATTTCAACATTAGAAAAGACATGGCATGGACTGCTTGTAACAAAATGGATAAGACCTGCAAATCCAATCTTGCTCGTCAATTCAAAATCCAACTTTTCCGCGTACTTATTGAGCCAATCATACTCTATGGCTCTGGAACTTGGACTCTCCCGGCAAAACAACAGCGTCGTTTAGATGGATGTTATACAAGTCTTTTAAGAAGAGTGCTTAATCTCTCATGGCGAAACCGCCCAACTCTAGAAATGATATATGGAAACTTGCCGAGACTATCAACCTTAGTTTGCAAGAGACGTGTCCAGTTCGCCGGGCATTGTGCGCGTGCCACAGATGAACTTGTGTCATCATTTGTACTCTGGAGGCACCCATCATCTGACAATCGATCACGCAAGTTAACCTTTCCAGATAGGATAAAACGAGACACATTGATCCCTAAGGAAGATCTTTTAGGAGCTATGACGGATAGGGAATACTGGAGAGGTGTAGGGAGTTCAATCTCGGCTGAGGCCGCAAGATGATGATGATGACTGCATATTAAATTGTTCTGTGAGACTGGGGGAAAATAAATGATCTTCATATATAGCAGTAACTTCCAAACACGACAAAATCCAATACATATTTTTTATTTATTGAATTCTTATTGGGTTTGGTCTAAGTAACATTGTATAATATGACTAATTTCGTATCATGAACTGCTTTTAAAGGAAACCTAACAGGTTTATCGTTGGTCAAGTAATTCAGCTAAGATTAAAATGAAAGTGTAGACGAAAAACACAATTTACACATAGTTTGCGATAACACATTAAAGCCAAATTTACACAATTATTACAAAGACATATATCTCTAACTACATATCAATTTTTGTCTAGTTAAGTCCCACACACTACGCACTCTACTCAAAAACAAATTATAAAACAAATTACAAATATAACTGATTGCTGGCCATTATGGACTCGACTCACATTTGACACAGATTCCTACAACTACGTCCGTGTGTTTCCTTTATAAAGGACAAATACAAATACAGTAAGGTTGAATAAGTGATCGTACAGCAAACAAACGCTTGCTATTCTCACCTATAGAATGTTATATATATTTTGGGGCATAGAATCAGAATCTGCAATTTAAAAATTTAGAAATTCATCGATAAGTGATAGTTATGCAAATTTTTATATTTCGAATAGTGGAAAAAAGTATTCGTACAGTATCAATTTTTGCATTATAATACGGTAGATTTTGCTTGTACTTCAAAGTAGAAGGTTCTAAACTGTTCTAGAATATTCTCAGTAACTCTATTGCAACATTCAGTTCAAAATTGGATCATTCTGCAGTCACTGTTTACAGATAACGGTTCTAATAATGGCTAGACGTAAGTAAATGACTTGTGCTCAAAAAGAGCTAATTATTAAGCTATGAAACAATGGAAAAAGTTACAGAAACATCTCCAGTGACACGAACATACCTTTTTCAGCAATTGGTTCATTTATTGCAAGATTTAAAAGACGTAATACTGTTGAAAACAAAGGCAGACCCGGTGCTCCCAGGAAGATCTATCCCAGATTACGAAGAAAGTTGTTGCGACAGGTCCAAAATAACCCAATGGTCATCAGACAAGACCTTCAGAATGATCTGAGTTTGTCAGGAGTTAACGTAACTAAGCAAACGATTAGTAATGAACTACGAAGAGACGATATAAAGTCGCGCTCCCCAAGAGAGACAACACTCCTTCTGAAACGGCATAGAGATGCCAGGTTGAAATTTGCGACAGAGCATAAAGATAAGAAAAATTCTTATTGGGAAAGAGTTCTTTGGACAGATGAGAGTAAAATTGAGTTGTTCGGTTGCAACTCCCTGAATCATGTATGGAGGAAAGACGGCGAAGCATACGCACACAAGAACACCACACCAAATGTCAAATTTGGTGGGGGTAGTATCGTGGTTTGGGGCTGCTTTTCGATACGAGGTGTTGGCAAACTAGCAATTATAGACGGTAGAATGAGTGCAGAAAAATATCAACAAATCCTAAGTGAAAATTTATCGCTTTCTGTAGAGAATCTTGGGCTTCCACCTGATTGGATCTTCCAGCAGGACAATGATCCCAAGCATACTGCTAAGAGTACGAAGAATTGGCTTGCTAATAACAACGTTAACATCTTACAATGACCCAGTCAGTCGTCGGATTTGAATCCAATAGAGAATTTATGGCGGTTTTTAAAAAATAAGATCCGTGATAGAAGTTCAACAAACATAAAAAACCTGAAGACAATTACTCAGGAAGAATGGGACAAAATACCTACTAAAGAATGCGAATCGTTAATTAAAGAATACAGGAAGAGATTGGTTGCTGCTGAACTTAATAAAGGCTTTGCTACAAAATATTAAATGGAGAAAACATGTTTTTGTTTTGCCGTACG